CCATGCAGTTCCTCTTGATCACCCTAATAAGGTATGGTGAAAAGTACAAATTACGAAGTGTTAATTATTTAATCTCCTTCTGCCTCCGGCTACTTGTTTCTTTGCCTTCCTCAAGTCGGCATATTTTCATGAATTTTTTGCGAAACACCTTCAGTGCTTATATACTTGAAAAAGTATCTGTAAACAAACTAACATAGCGTAACATTTTCTATTGAACTCGTCCTCATGTTACTTGTATGCACCTGTTTCCAGATGGCGCAGCTGGTCGCACACAGACCAGTAAAGCTGCAAATTACGTACTTCACGCAGGTCTAGTTCAGGGTTTTACAGCCTGCATAGCTTCTCATGTTCAGAGTAACACTGAAGTTCTTTTTCAATGTATACTAATGAAGGTTATGCTTAACTTCTTGTCCCTTGTTAATTGGTTGATTCTTAACCGTTTTAGCGACACATATACGTGGGTTATATAATTTTGATATCGAAATATGATAATGCAAGACTCAGGCAAGGTTTTCAGAGTTGGCCATGGCCTGTTTGGAGGTGCTATCCTGAAATTCGCCAGGAGAGATTGAAGAAAATTACAACAATTATATGTGGTAACTCGGTTCAGAGTCGAAAGGAGTATGCCCTAAATACAAACCTAGATCCTTGCTTCAGACATGATTTCGTAATAATTATGCCCAGTTTCAGTCATGCGCCATGCTGAATGAAGAATTCCGCTGTCTCGAAGCCCATGTAAAAAGAGCTTTCAATTGGTGATTCATACGTCAGTCACTCCAGCCTGCTCCAGCCTGCTCCAGTCTGCTCCAGCCTCTTCGAACAGTTAGGCCTAGCTGTTTGCGTCGCATGATTCCTCCTTCCCCCAGTTCTGAAATGTGTTGTAGTTACTAATGCAGCTCAGATAATTCGCTACAATAATCTTAATGGCACGTCAGGATGTGGCCCTTTTATTTTTTTAAACAAAATCTCTGTTTCTAGAATCACAGACATTAGTGTAATTTATTTTCTGTAATGTTTAAACTAACTTCGCTTTAAACAAAACCGGGACATGTTTTTACAGTCCAGTGGCCAGTTAGTGACACATGCCTCTTTAACCTCAAAATGTTTTTATGTACTGCAATGTTTACAGACTAACACAGCAGCGGGATTGCCGTCAGGATTAATTTAAAAACTCTCATATTTTGACATATTTTTATATTTGGCAAACTAATTCTAATTTCGTGGCAGGTTACATCAGACCTTTCATTACTGTTATCCGTTAAGATTGTCGTTTATATGAAAACATTTAAAAGTAAAATCATCTCTGCGCTCGAAGACCAACATAAAGAACCATGTAGGTGACCGGAGGTAAAGATCCACGTATTCTTAACCTGTACAGAAAATTGAGGTGACTGGTCAGCTTCACGTTCCGGTCGCTTTACTTCTTTGGAAAGGCTTCCTTGGTAAACATTGATTAGGCGCCTGCGCAGTTCCTGAAACCCGTCTGGCCGCCACAAAAATAGATAAGACCGTGAACTATCCTATATCCAGTAACTGGGTACCCCCGGATTGTTTACTTTATAAGGGAACAGAGATAAGGAAATAAAAACATCGCCTATTTCTTACTCAAAACGTGTGTTGAACAGTTATAGTTGCTTGCGAGCTTCCCGCTGCCCGTTTTGACCGCGCAGCGCGGCGCATCATGCGCTGTAATGCGCTGTACGGCCGGGTAGCCGCGGGACTTGGAGCAGCCATCGCGCCAAAACTCCTCAGTCAGCGCGTGTGTGTGTTCAAGGGCGGATCCTGTGCGGCTCAGTTGTTCACTTTCCCGCGGCCACCTCGCGTGCTCTTCAGGTACGGTACGTTTTGCACACAAAATTATCAGACTGCAGATGCTCCATTGTGTATGATATTTGTCACAAATTTATTCGATTGCAAACGCCAATATAAACACATGAACTTAGATACTTTCACACCTGAACTTCATGTGTATTTTTAGACGTAACCATATACTACTCGTATTTATCTTTTCATGTATGGTTATTCAACAACGCTGCCAGTAGCTCAGACTATACAGCGCCGAATGATTCGAGAATAATATAGCGAATGATGTGACAGGAAGCGGTCATGGTCTAATTGAGGTATTACTCCGGCATTTGCCCAAAGAACCTGAGGATAACCACGAGTAACCCCAGTCAGGATAGCCAGTATCCCTGCCGGAAACCTCCCGAATACAAGTCACAATCGAGCTAAGTTGCTGGGTACCATGTATTTTATAGCATACTAGTATAACATACCTAATATTGATGCGTACTTTGTTTCTTGTTAGTGGGAAATGACCTTTGAAATTTAACGGGAAATAATTTGTTTCGTTTCTCTAATCGTGCATTCATTCTATCATTTCTCTCTCTCTCTCCCTTCCTTCCTTCTTTTCTTCCTTTCTTTCTTCCTTCCTACCTTCCTTCCTACCTTCCTTCCTTCCTTCCTTCCTATCCCTGATCTGTGTTACGATAAGGTAGTGAATTGAGTTAGATAGTTAACGGTTCAGGTTGCATCGTTTCGAGCTGCAATGTTTGTAGGTGCACGAAAACTACGCGTTATTAATAGTGTAGAACACATAATTATAAACCTCTCCCATTTTATAGACCTGCATAAATTTTACGAAAGTGTTATACGTCAAGAAAGAAAAGCGATTATTTCGAAAGACTAATTCAATGCTGTTGGTATTTCTTTCTAACCACGCAACCTGGACGTAAGCTCATCACTGGTAGTGCAATTGTTTGCTAAAGGTCATCCCAGTTGACTACCGCAAAATGCATAAAGTATGTTATATTTTTATCATCTCCTGAAATGTGACTTGCCTTGAAATATTAACGCAGTCAGAGAGAGAGAGAGAGAATATGGGAGTGTGTACTGAAAAGAATTCCCAATTTGTTCCCATTTAACGTGACAGTACGCAACTTCACTTTGTTGTAGTCTCCCCCATTCAGTAAGCAGAATAAAATGCTTTTAACAGATTGACAACACGTATTGTTACAGCTGCATTTTATCTAAGCACCTTTCGTTAAAAGTCCGTTTAAGTATACATGTGTTTTACGTTGCATTGAAGTGAAATGGGACACGCTCAGTAATCAGCAGAATGCTTTCTCTCTGCATCAACTTTTGGAGATGTTGAATTTCATGCTTTACCGCGCAGCTAACCCGAACTCTGTAGTCTGTATTAACCGTGATTTACGTTCTAACAAGAGTGCCCGTGATCGTAATAGTCGTAACAAATAGCTGCATTTGTTTTGTAAACGATATGGGATCGTTAGTTACAGAAATAAACGAAGTTACTAATGTACACTCTGGCAACATATGCTAATTTAAATATGGCTAATTTCAAAGTATAAAGGATGTAGAAGGAAGCGGTAATAGCCATTTTTAGGTATTATGCCAGAAATTGTGTAGAAGGCATGAAAAAGCACTAAAAGTTTTAACGGAATATCCTGTCTCCAAGCCCAGATTTGAAAAGCAGACCATCCGAATACTAACCCGGGGCGATCATTTGACCCGGAATTTTGGTGATTTTTGATTATTCAACGACGTTGCTGTAGTTACAGAGACTCTGAAACGTCGAATAAAATCACTGAATAGTGTGTATACAAGGATTTGGAAGGAGATGTTAGATATCCCGTAGTACTGTTCTGGAAGCTGAGTGGAGATACTGAGGCGTATCACAGAAAATATGAATGAGGGTAGCTAGTAAGCCGGCCAGATGTTGCACCCGGCGCCTTTCAAAACAGATCCACAACTCTTCCATGATATCTGGCTGTTTGGTTCCTTGATTCATGACGCTTTGACAGTTTTAAGAGCTATATAGCTTCGAATGGTAAGGTGAGTGTGAATTGGAAAATATGTGGAAGAGAGCGGTCGTGGTATATTTTAATGTAATATTCCAGTCTGAAGATACTGAGTAGAAGGAAGGAAAATCTCAGTCAGGATATTTGTTAGCGGGGCTGAGATTCGAAATCGAGGCTTCCCAGGTAAAGAATTATTAACCAATGAACGTTATGTTCGGTGTGAGGTCGTGACGTGTTCACTGGGTAACAGCTGAACTCATGTCCAGCGGGTACCAAGAAAACGCTGGAGACTTGGGACTATACTGTAAGGCGGCCCATACACGTACGAGTCTGGCTCGGCGAGGAGCCGGGCTCGGATTAATTTCACCACACACGCACGAGCGTGGCGACTCACACACGGACGAGTTTGGCTCATTGGAACCCGAGCTGAGTCGAACTTGCGAGCCAGACTCGTACATGTATGGGCCCCCTAAGACCCTACGCGGAGAGCCAATATGCATGGAGGGATTCTTGTACCCTTAGTATGAACCCGCAGAAAGTCAGCATCCGTTGCTCATTGAATCGATTTTTAAATCCGATGAATATATTTTATATCCCCTATAACACGAATGTGTTGTTAACAATTTTAACGACACTTTCGCAACTGTATGTATTAGGTAGCGTTAAGTGGACGGAGGACTGGTTGTTCCTTGTTTGTTTCGCTACACTTTCCGACAACTTGGAGAATTACTATTGTTGCCGGCCAGTGGTTAACACTCCTGCTTCGTTTGAGGGAAGTGGTGGGTTCAAATCTCGGTTTGAGACCGGTCGTCCTGACTTGTGTTGCTGATGGTTTTTCTCTGTCCCTCTAAGTTAAATACCAGGCTAGTACCTCGATTAGGACTTCGCCGCTTCCTTTCAAATCCTTTCCAATTCGTCATTTATGTATTATTCTATCTTTTGACGCTATATAGTCCAGTTACTGATAGCATGACAAAAGATAATGCTTACTGAAGTACAGAGGTATATTTTACAGCACTGTTTCTCAACCGCTGGGCCGCGTCCCAGTACCGGGCCCTCATCTTATAAAAAAGAAATTTATCGGGCCGCGGCCTCACAAAGTTTGAGAACCATTGCTTTATAGCGTAGGATGGGAGTATGTTTCTTTGATGATCCATTGGCGCAATATAAACTGCATATATTTTTACAGCCTCCAGTGAGAGGTTGTTTTTGCTTGTTTCGTAGAAGATTTTAAAGCCACTTTATCATCTGCGTAGGTTATATGGCTATGAATGGGAGTATGAATATGACTAATTCGAAGGATATAGGAAGAATCGATTGTTGTCTCGTTTAAGGTATCGTATCATCGCATGGTCTTCGTTGTGGAATTTATTAAGACTACGGACAACCTTTCTTTTTTTCATTGCTAGTGGGGTGGGACTAAGTCCCCTGTACTGCAGCCACTTCTGGCCTATTGTATCAGCCCCAGATGATAGGTGAGGGTGATTGTGGAGCAGTTGGTGGAATGAAGATTGGCAGGGGAAACCGAAGTACTCGGAGAAAACCTGCCCCAGCGCCACTTTGTCCACCACAAATCCCACTTGACCAGACCCGGGATCGAACCATGGCATCCGCGGTGGGAAGCCAGCGACTAACCGCTTGAGCTATGGCGCGGCCCACGGAAAACCTTGGTTAGTATATTCTGAAGGGTTCTGATGATGGTGCATAATACTCGGAATTAGTGGTCCAGTGATTGAGGTTAGCTCTTTCTAAGGGACCCAACAGAAGAAATGTCTTCCCCCTCTCATTTGGACGGAAACAGATCCAGTTTCCAAATCGATGTGTTTTTTTTTTAGCTTCTAGAATACCGGACGGTGGACAGAGTCCAAAAGCCCAGTAATTCTTGGTCAGTATAGTCGGTCTCGGATTACATCGAGATTCAAACCTTCAATTTATAGTGTACAACAGTAACCACTCAGCTGCGACGTTCAGTAAGTTGGCTGGCTACATAGAAATAAATTTGAAGTGAAATCAGCACCAGAAAATTTCTGTCCAGTGCTAAAGTCAAATAATAAAAACCGTGTTTTTGTTCTTACATGCGTTGGTTGGCAACTCTTTCATTTTTTCCCCGTTTTGAAGGAGGGCCAATTTAAAAATCTTACAACTCAGCACACAAGTGATGACAGTGGGTCATGTTTTTTCAACAGCATTTTCAGTTAAGCGGCAAAAATGATCAGTTCTAGTATAATATAAATGTTTGTGTTTTTTAGAACTTGCAGTTTTATTTTGAAAGATAAAAGAACGTCGCTAAGAAGCAGGCTCATGTGAGGTGCAGTCGGAGTCTAGATTTACTTTTGACAACTTTAATTTTCGAAAACATTGTTCACAAGATTACATGTTTAAGGAAGGGCTTGTCATTCACCGTACGTCGCCACTAAGCACTGAAAACTTATCAGTAGGTAACCGGAGTTGTAAAGGTGAGTAAAACGTGTGGAATGTACTCGTAAACCTACTACTCAGATCCGTATGACTGCAAAACTCTCACGTCGATTCGAAATTCGGTTGGAACAGTTTCAACATTAACTACAAACGGCTTTGAAAATAAATTGTGACCTCGTAGTTTCGTACAATTGTACCTTTGAAATGAGAGTTAATTATTTGTTGAAGCTGAATTTCTTCCGCGTGATCCCTAGCATCAGTGGGGGGTTTCCTTTCTCAAAAATTTAAAACGCGTCATGTCGTTTGATCGCATTTGCAGTTCCCACAGATGAAGGATCCACTCGGACTCTGTTATTTAGTCAGACATCTGGGCCGCTCCATAGCTCAAGCGGTTAGTCGCTGGCTTCCCACCGCGGCTGCCCGGGTTCGATCCCGGGTCTCGTCAAGTGGAATTTGTGGTGGACAAAGTGGCGCCGGGGCAGATTGTCTCCGAGTACTTCGGTTTCCCCTGCCAATCTTCGTTCCACCAATTGCTCCACAATCACCCTCACCTCTCATCTGGGGCTGGTACAATAGGCCAGAAGTGCCCGCAGT